AAAGCAAATTCACTTTATTCCCAAATCTCTAAATCACTCTTTCTCTCTCTCGTTTAACTTGGAATTTTTATTGGGCTCTGTTTTAGTGAATAAGTCAATAAGACCAAATTAGTTGCAGATGAACTTGTAGGTCAATCTGTGCTTATATATCAAGAAAACATCATTTTTGGAAAACTTTTCAGATTGTGGCTGCTAAAATAACAGACAACAGAAAAAGAAGGACGCCTTAAATCCTGAAACCCTGTGTGTATCTGCAAAATGCCAGAAGTAATCTCCACATGTTTCTAATTACCTTAGTAGCACAGATGAGAACAAACAATGCTTGTATTCTTCTGTTTTAACCTGTTGATTGGAAGACGATAAACAGAGCACTTTCAGAAAGAGAAGCAATGACATTGCTGGAAGGTTTGCACACTGTAATATTTCCTTAATGAAATGCAAATCTAGTAGTAGAATCAGTTACCAAAGGTTCTGCTGCCAGAAATGATGCGGGAAAAAATGTGTCAGAATTCAGATGCGTTGTATTTGCCATTTGATGTTTTTAAATGAATGATCTAACAGCCAGAAATATGTATCTGTATTTGTTTATAGAAACTCACGACACACAGATGAAGTCCATCACTAGTGCTCACAGGAATTGACCGTTGAATGTGAACAATGCCAGCCATTAGACTGTCACTTCTTTAATTCAAATATTTCATACACTTTCCATCAGAAATTTTCCTAAATGTTCCTCGTACAGGGTTTCATTTTTGTTTGTCCAAAGGAAGAGGCAGGTATTGATGCAATGAGTGTCTTTGAGTGTGAAAGACAAAAAGACAAGAGTCGTACAGGTAATTTAAGACGTTTCACGTGTGCTGCAGGTGAACCATATGCCAGCACTTCAGCACGGAATGTTCTCTGAAGAGTAATGACATGGAAATTTGTCCAGCAGTAGCTTCTTTCTATGTGCGGATTTTAATGAGCTTTATGACTCTGAGGAAACGTACGTTTTTCTAAGCTTTCACATTTCATCCATTTGGCTTGGCTTCACCATTATGGTTATCTGCATAATGTGTTCACACAGGACACGTTCGTCAGTCACATCTCAATGTTTTTCTTGTGCTACGACACCATAATGTGTGTCAAGTTAAAAACATCATCTCCTCTGTGAACGCCCCCTTACGTAATAGTGTTAATCACGTGCTTGTGGACATTTATTGTGACAACATTTGGTTTGTTCAACTTGCATCTACTGGTGCTGTTCCTTGTGTGTCTGACAGCAGCAGGGCGCCATGGGTAACGGTGCACTAGGTTTGTGTTTACCCTTCTGTTAAACTAGTGTGTGTGTGTGTGTGTGTGTGTGTGCGTGCACAACTTGAGAATGTAGAAGTTTCTACATGAGGAAGTGGTTAGTGTAAAACGGCCTTCTGTCTTGGTAGGTTTGTTTTCTTTAAAACCATTTTTTTATCAATAGAGTCCCTTATCCCCTACAGAAAAGTACATAGACACTCAGTGGACCAAATTCCCAAGAGCTTTAGCCAGAGGAACCGTGAGGAGCACCAGGCTACCAAGAAACATCTACAACATGCTACAATAGAATCTACAAACCAAAGTCCTCAAAATAAGACCGAATCCACAAAATACAGCATTCATGGTACAAGAAAACCTACAAGACACAACAGTCAGAGTGGCTGACACTGTTTTAGATAGCACAGTGGAAATCTCTGTGAGAGTATCGAGCTCAGAACGTAACCAAGCAAACAAGCACACCCATCCAGATGCATTTTGCCCCCTACTGCATGACCTTGAAGTGGACCAGAAAACACCCATCTCTTTTTCTGAAAAGCAAACAAACAGAACAATAGGCGACATTCTGGGTAATTCTCTGCCTTTGATGTCTGTGCTATATGGCTTTGCATTGTAAAATAGAAGAAGGAAACTGAGGATCATTTGGAAGAAGTGTGGAGCATGTGTCTGAACAATCTGACCCGTGACACCAGAATCTCCTTCCCGTGTTTGCTTGTATAAATTCACAGCTGAAGTGCTGTTTGGGTGCGGTCACGAATGTTTGTGTGGTTGGCTCTCATCTGATCTTCAGAAAGCTTGATATCCTTATAGGGATAGTTTGCTTTAAAATTAAAATTCATCATTTACTCAACCTCATGTCATTTCAAACTTCTGTGCAAGTCAAATTTAAATATTTTGAAGAATGTCTCTGTTTTTTGTCCACACACTGAAACTCAGTGGGGTCCAGTGTTTGTTTGTGTGTTTGGACTCCGTTGATGTTTGGGGGAACTGTACCTTTAAGGACAGCAAGGTTTCTTGTGGGTTTGTTTTCCACAGCTAAAGGAATAGAGGTCTATGGGGCGAGCCACTGCACTGGAATAAATGTTAAAATAGACATGGTTTTGATTGTACAACCACAAAATGTAAACACATTATATGTGTTTACATGAGACTAGTGCGATAAAATCACTTTCTGTCCTTGTCTATGTAACATTATATACAGGCGTTTGACTCCTGTCATGACCGTGTAATGGCAGCGAACCCTCTTTTTCATATAATACAGGCAATTTTTCCAGAAAGAGACTGTTTATATAAAAACCACTCTCAGGAATTATGTCAGTAACACATTAAATAGAAGTTCATCCTTGAATAGTCATACAGGACAATTTATAAGTTTACAGGTTAAATGTATGCTCCACATTTCTGCTTTCAGTGCCTCAAGAGCCCTTTGACTTTCATTATAATTGCATTATTTTAAACACTATTTTTATTTGTTTTTACAAACTGAGGGACACGTCAAATGTGTTTTCTATAATTATTGCCCATAAGGAAGAATTGATTATTTATGTGTCAACCATTTCATACTGCAAGAAATGTTTCCCCCGCAACTGTCAGTTTTTCCCTTATTTTTATGTTTTTTTTACCAGGTTGTTTGTTTGAGCTCTGGTCAATAGTAGCAATTGGAGTATGAATTAAGCGTTCAGGTTTTATGTTGAGTTTGTGTGCGCGTGTGTGCGCGTGCGTGCGTGTGTGTGTGCGTGTGTGTGTGTGTGTGTGTGTGATTTGCAGAGGTGTTTAAAATGGAAGTGTGATGCCTGAATGGCTGGACTTCACCCTATTAAATGAGGTATTAAGGAAATGGACAGACGTCTCCTGTGTTTTCTATAATTATTGCCCATAAGGAAGAATTGATTATTTATGTGTCAACCATTTCATACTGCAAGAAATGTTTCCCCCGCAACTGTCAGTTTTTCCCTTATTTTTATGTTTTTTTTACCAGGTTGTTTGTTTGAGCTCTGGTCAATAGTAGCAATTGGAGTATGAATTAAGCGTTCAGGTTTTATGTTGAGTTTGTGTGCGCGTGTGTGCGCGTGTGTGCGCGTGCGTGCGTGTGTGTGCGTGCGTGTGTGTGCGTGTGTGTGTGTGCGCGTGTGTGTGTGTGTGTGTGTGTGTGTGTGTGTGATTTGCAGAGGTGTTTAAAATGGAAGTGTGATGCCTGAATGGCTGGACTTCACCCTATTAAATGAGGTATTAAGGAAATGGACAGACGTCTCCTGTTCAGTAGAGATTTTCTCCCATTTTGCTTTCCCACAATAATATTTAGCTTGTGCCTGAGCTTTGTCTGACATTCACAAAGCAGCCGTCTCTCTTCAAGATCTCTTTCACTTTGTATTGCGTTCATAGCATTGATGATACAGTTACTTACACTACTGTTAAATACATTTGGGGTCAGTAAGATTTTTGAAAGAAATTAATGCTATTATTCAGCAAGGATTCATTCAGTTGCTCAGACGTGAAAGAAAAGAGATACATTTCATATAAATGAAGTTCTTTTGAACTTTCTATTAATTAACAAATCATGGGGGGAAAAAATTTAGAATTTTCAATTTATGGGTTAGCAGTTTCGTTGATGCAATTCTTCTGTTTAGATTTAGAGATCTAGGGCTGTCAATCACTTGATCGACTCCACCCACTGCACTTTCAATCCCAGCTCTCAGTGTCCACCTACACTACAGCACAGTTTTCTCTTACTTATCTAATCATTATGTCATCGTAAGTTATTGTGGGATTCTGTCTGCTTTTATGTCAGTGTTGCTTTGCAATGTGTCTGCTAAGTTGTGTGTGCTGCAGGCTGTCTGGCACAGGGCTGTAATTATTATCTTAACCCTGATTTGCTGAGAGATGCAGAGTAATGGTAATTCAGACAATGCTTACAATGTGCTCTCTCTTCCGTTGTCTGTTTTAAATCAGTCTGGATTCTGGGATTGATTTGTCTCTATAATTATTTTCTGAATCTTTCATTTGTCATGCAGTCATTCATGTTGTGTTTTGATGATCATCACAGATGTGATGCTCTAATGTAATGTCTGTAACGAACCGCTGCATGTTTGCAGTCCCCTAGCTAATATTCCTAAGAACATGCTGTCACAAACACATATCATCAATATTCACACACGGTCTGTTACACGCTGCCAAATGTTTCTCCAGAAGCTGCACATCTTTCTTCTTTAATGCAGAGACTTCCTGCACATAATGGTCCTCACTAATCCAAATATTTACTCGGTATGAAATAAGCGCTCTCTAGACGGGCCAGAGAAAGCCTGTCTGTCCACCTCCCAACTGCAGACAGACAACAACAGAACAATGATTTCTGATAGGAAAGGAGAAATAAAGAGATGAAGAATATTTGAGACCTGTGCTGGCAAAATGATTCGCAATGAGCAAATTCTTAAAAGAAATTTCGAAGCTGGAATGCTGCGCTTTACAGTTATACCATATTTGTGCTGAGGGGAAGCAGAAGTCGTCAAGAAGCGAGCAGAGTAGATGAGGGCTTAATGAACTCATTTTTGAACAAAGTTGACATTTTTCACTTTTTCAAAATCAGTCTGTGCACATTCCGACTCATTTTGTCAGCACGGGTCACATTTAAAGCTGTAGCACAATTTTGCTGTAGATTTTGTAGCCAAAAAGGGACTTTTTTTTTTTTTTTTAACATTCTTATATATTTGCAGGTATATATCTGTCTGATCTGACCTACATCGATTCGGCGTATCCATCCACCGGCAGCATTCTGGAAAACGAACAGCGTTCCAACCTCATGAACAACATTCTGAGAATCATCTCAGACCTGCAGAGATCCATTGAATATGGTGTGTATCACATTTGCGAGTGTGTTTACTCTGTCAAATGAACAGAAGTAACTGGGAATTAATTTCTCCCTCTGTCTCAGATATCCCAGTATTGCCGCATGTCCAGAAGTATCTTAACTCTGTGCGCTACGTTGAATATGGTGTGTATCACATTTGCGAGTGTGTTTACTTTGGCAAATGAACAGAAGTAACTGGGAATTAATTTCTCCCTCTGTCTCAGATATCCCAGTATTGCCGCATGTCCAGAAGTATCTTAACTCTGTGCGCTACATTGAGGAGTTACAGAAGTTTGTGGAGGACGACAATTATAAGTGAGCAGTGTTTATATTACATAAAAAATAATTACGATTTTTTTTTCTGTTTTTGAAAGAAGGCCCTTATGCTCACCAAGACTGCATTTATTTGGTGGAAAATGCAGTAAAAACAGTAATATTATGAAATATTATTTCAATATTAATTAAATTATATAAAAAATGATATTTGAATATAAATTAAAATGTAATTTATTCCTGTGATACAAATCTGATTTTTTTTTTTTTTTACTTGATTGATAGTCATGGTTTATACAAAAATATTAAGCAGCATAACTGTTATCAACGTTGATAATAATAAGAAATGTTTCTTGAGCAGCAAATCAGCCTATTAGGATGGTTTCTGAAGGATCACGTGACACTGAAGACTAAGTAATGATGCTAAAAATTCAGCTTTGCATCACAGGAATAAATTGCATTTTAAAATATATTACAGTTGAAAACAGCTAATTTAAATTGTAATAATATTTCACAATATTACAGTTTTTTTCTGTATTTTTTATCAAATAAATGCAGCCTTGGTGAGTTTAAAAGACTTAAAAAAAAAAACCTTTAAAAATCGTAATAATTCCTACCTTCTCACAGGTAGTGTATATTATACTTTTTGTGTTAGTGTTTGAATTTGTAAATGATACTCATGTTTGTATACGTATCAGGTTGTCCCTAAAGATTGAGCCACCAGCTACCAGCACACCTCGCACCACTGCCTCTAGAGAAGACCTCACAGGTGAGAAATGCATGCAGCCCACACACACTGACGCTAACCAGGCGTCATGCCATACTTCTCTTCTGAGTTGTTATCCTAACCAGATGCAGCCTTGACATGTGACAACATTTCGTTGGACGTTTGGATTTTATTTATGTTGCATCATGCTGGGTTTGCTCTGACCACAGTGCTCTCCCCAAAGCTGAACACCTTCAGTGTCACACGTTCTTGTTAATGATTAGTATGTCTGTTGTTTTTGTGACACAGGTCCAGATATATCTGCCTCACCGTTATGTGGTCGTCGTGGTAATGTTGAAGGTGCCCTGCCTAAAGTCCCGCCAACGCCACCCTCACCTCGGAACCTCATCACCTACGGACACAGGAAGTGCCACAGCCTCGGCTACAAGTGCGTTTGATACATATTCTCCATTCATTTGTTTACATCACTCACTCCTTTGTGTGTAGCTTAGTGCAATTCATTGAAACTCTCCTGTAGCATAAAGCAGTAACTTCCTGAAGAAGGATCTGCCTTGTACTTAGTTTCTACAAGCTCTATATGTGACATTCTTCTGGTTTCTTGCCAGATATGTCACTACTGATTAAGAAAACATTTCAATCTTTAACTTGACTTCATCTCTGTCCTGTGTGTGCTGCAGTTTTATCCACAAAACGAACACGGTGGAGTTTAAAAGCGCTACTTTCCCCAATGCCGGATCCAGACACCTGTTAGACGACAGCGTGCTGGAAAGCCACACTCCCACACGAGGACAGGCAGAGAGCTCAACACTGTCTAGCGGCATTTCACTGGGTATGAGACACACGCACAGAGCTACTGGATCATGGACTGGATCAGTCTTTTTATTCTTTATATGTCATGATCGTATGATTTCAGGAAGTAGTGAAGGGTCGGAGCTCAGTGAGGAGATGTCATGGCCTGCCTTTGAGAGGTGAGTCTTCTAAAGCATTCACACTTGCAAACACAGTCAAGGACAGTTACACGTGCACATACATGATCACATGCGTGAGTGCATATGGACACAGCATGTCATCATGGAACATGCTGGAATCTATCCTAACCCTCAGCACTCCCCACCAACCCTCCTGAACAGAGACTCTTCCAGTGCTTCTCTTCATCATCATCATCATCATCAAATTAATACAATCACTTTTCTCCAATACAGCTTTTGATTATTTGTTTAATCTGTAATTTATTGTTTATAATGCATTGACAATATCAGGTGTGACCATAAACCTGCTTTGAGACTTTAGTTTCCCATAACTGAACACCTGGGCTAAAACGAGCTTCAGCATGTGAATGTAAAAGGACCTTTGCACTAGAAAGTGTTTTTTGGCACAGAAGAGTGTGTTCTGTGACTCTCAGCTGCCTGTGCTTTCTCTTTAGTGCTCTACCTCTATTGTAGCTAATGAGATTAACTTCCTGTAACAGGAACAGAGTATAAGAGAGTCATTTGTGATGGCTGCTGCCTACCATGCTGCTTCAGGTGTACACAACCGCATCAGTGTACCCTAAATGCATGTCAAAGCCCCCTTTGTCTCCTTCTGTGTTCTAAAAAGGTTGCCTGATTTATTTATATATATATATAAGTAGGGAATTAATAAATTATAAATAATTATATTTTAATCAATTATATATCAATTTGACCATTTTGTGATTATCAAAATGAACCGTTAACCCTGCCCGTTTGGCCGGGTAATACAAGTGTCAATTCCGAAAGCCAATAGCTTTATTGATGGATAATGCACAATTTCTGTTTTTAAATATTTTAAGTAAAAATGCAGCATTTGTGTATATTTATTTATTTATTTATTTAATACATTTTGTTCTTGGTTCTCTGGAATATGTGATTCTGATTGGGCACAATTCTGTGAAAATCAGTCAAATATTTACAATAACGTTCAAAGTTTTTTTTTTTTTTTAATAAAAATGCTGTAAAAAATAATAATTAACAATTTAAAATACCTATTTTGTGTTATAATATTTGAAGGTTTTATTTATTCCTGTGATAAAAAGCTGAATTTTCAGCAGTCAGTATTCCAGCCTTCAGTGTGAAATGATCCATCCAAAAAACATATATTAAACAGTTTTTTAATATATTTAATTGTTTTAAATATATCTGTGATACATTTTTTTAGGATTCTTTGATGGATTTTATTTCGTTTTTATTAGGGATGCACTGAAATGAAAATTCTGGGCCGAAACCGAAATTTCTGGATGCACTTGGCCGAAAAACTGAAAACGAAAATGCTTTTTAATAATTGTTTTTTTTTTTAAATAATATAAAATAATTTTGTAAGACTTTTTAATTTAATGATACTGAATTTAAAAAATACAAGCCAATAAAATAACCACACGTTTATTGAAAGTAACAAAATACAATTTGACAGAAAATATATTAATATTAAATATCAATATTTTTTTTCCAGTTCTATTCAACAGAATCAGATTTAACTTTTTTTTTTTTTGACTAATTATCCAAATAATGTATAGTCCTACAAAGCTATTATTATCAGAGCATTTTTTCGGGAATCCTGCGGGATGGAAAACAAAATCACTATTGATCACGTGATTGGGACGGGACAGGAAAAAATGTCAGTGGGAGTGGGCGGGACCGGGAATCGTAATAACACTATGATACCCAACTTTATACACAAATATACCTTTTATATAAATAAACTATAAACTCTATATTTTAATTTTGAACTCCATTCTAGTTGCCCTGTCTCTTTGTGCTCTCCTCCTGTTTGCTTTGGTGTGGCTGGTTAAGTGAATGACGTACGCAGTCCGTGACAAACAGATCGTTAACGGCTGGTCTATGTGGTAATACAGTACATCGGGCAGGAAATCCAAACGCCCACCAATCATTCATCGACCTCAAATACGGCTTTTCATCTGAAAGATGTATGTAGTAACAACTTTACATGGCCGCTCAATCTAATGTTAACCTAGAGAAATGTGTGCTATATTCAAGTGTCTGTGTGGAAGCTGAACAGCAGCACGCTCACTGCAGGACAGATGGAGGCGCCGGTGCTCACTTGCTCTTAAAATACTCTGTAATTTTTAGTCATACAGGAAAAAAATAATACATCTTTCGAATCTGTAAAAACGAGTTTATTTGTGTGCACTCAGAATAACAACGCGCTTTCTGCCGTCTTGGTCTGTGAACTTGAGCGAGAAACTTCAAAACTCCGTGTATGAAAAATATATCTATAGAGTGAAATGTCTACTTTCAAATGAAAAAATTAATCAAATATAAAACGTGTGTTACCATGGATGATTTACATGAAATTGAATGTGTGTGCAATATACACTGTGCATTGTTTAAGCTGGCTTTCAGTTAAAATAACAAAAAAAACTACATTTTGGATTTTTATTCAACTAAAGTGGGCATGCTGTGATCTGTACTGTATGTTTTCACTGTAACTGACAGATTCCGGCCAAAATAACAACACGGGAGTGGGAGGGAATGGGAGTCATTCTTCCGGGATTGGGATGGGATGGGATTTTCCCCCAGGTTTTTCGTGGGATTGGGACGGGACGGGATTTTTTTTGTGGGAGTGGGATGGGAGAGTTTTGAAAATCCACTCCTGTGTCACCCTCTAATGTGAGCAGAACATAGCGGGGAGCAGATCGTGAGAAGCTAGCATCATTTTACCAGCGTTGCCCAGTACAGCGATACTACACCATGTTACAGCACAGTAGCACTATTGCAAACAGGAACAAGTATACTACATAGAAATTTACTTATTTGAGCGGACTTTGCTTTTCCGGTGAGCATGAGCAGTACACGAGCATTCGCATGGGCCATGAGCAAATCGACGAAACGCATATTCATATATGGGCGCGCTGATCACTGCCGGGCGGAGCATATATTTTAGGCTCATATTTTCTGCAGTTTTTTTACTTTCGGCCAAAAACGGCAAAATGGCATTTTCGGCGGATGAAATTTTGGTGCATCCCTAATTTTTATTTTATTTTATTTCATTTTTTTAGTCATTAGTAACTAGTGGGATATTATACAGTCCGCCGGTCATTTTCGCAAAATAAATGCTTGCCATCTTGTCACTTAATAGCTGGCTGACTGTATACTCTCCATTAGTTATATTAAATATAGTGACACTATATTGGTCATTGGCCACCCTGCTTTCTAGATATCACATGGGTTATTGAAAAACCTTTATCAGTTCACCACGTATTGTGTGCCAACCATTTGTTCAGACATGTTAGCCAGAGTCTTTAGACCATAGAAGGAGACAAAGAAAAAAGGTGCAGAGCTCTAGCACAGCCTGTACTGTGTGTTGTGTGTGAGGGCTGTGACTGACCACTGCCCCGCTATGACTGACACTCTACAGGACTCGATTCTACCACTCTCTGGGCCCCGTCAGCAGAGTGGGTCGCATTTCCTGCAGAGGAGCGCTCAGGCCCAGCAGGTAACTCAACAACCCTTCGACCCCCGCCGGGTCTCTCTCAGTCTGACTTACCCTGTACAACTGGGGAGCTATCGCCATCACAGTGTGTAGTGTGTGTTTTCTTACTGTGGAATCAGGTGGTGGGCTTTTCTGAATCACGTGTGTGATGTTGACTCTTATGCTGCAGTCGTGGCTTGTTGCTGCTAAGCCACTGAAGCATCTCTTCTGATAGCTCCTGCTTTCTGTTCTCCAAACGCACACAGCTCCTCTCACCTCTGCTGTAATAATGCCGCTTGCTGCAATGTTATAAAGAAACATATCATGGGAAAACAAAATGTTCCTCTTTTGAAATAAGGGTTTGAACGACTAATGCACCAAAAGCACCATCACTGTGAATGACTTGAATTAATTCTGTGCTAAAAATTCATAAAAAAATCAACACTCCATTAAACTCCGAATGTGTGATAATTCACTAGTTGTTAGATTGTCTAAATAATAGTAAACTAGTCATCCTCAAGGAGTAGTTTGCCTAAAATGAAAATTTGCTGAAAATCCACACACCCTAAGCCAATCCTAGATGTAAATTAGTTTGTTTCTTCATCTGAACAGATTTGGAGAAATGTAGCATTACATCACTTGCTCACCAGGGGATCTTCTGCAGTGAATGGGTGCCGTCAGAATGAGAGTTCAAACAGCTGATTAAAAACATCACAATAATTCACAAGTAATCCACACGACTCCAGTCCATCAATTAATGACTTGTGAAGCAAAAAGCTGCATGTTTGTAAGAAATAAATCCATCAATAAGGTGACTTTAAACCAGGGGTGCCCAAACTCGGTCCTGGAGGGCCAGTGTCCTGAAGAGTTTAGCTCCAACCCCAATTAAACACACCTGAACCAGCTAATCAAGCTCTTACTAGGCATACTAGAAACTTGAAGGCAGGTGTGTTGAGGCAAGTTGGAGCTAAACTCTGCAGGACACCGGCCCTCCAGGACCCGAGTTTGGGCACCCCTGCTTTAAACCATCGCTTATGGTAAAAATACGAGTCCATGATCCATAATAACACTTCCTCCAGTGAAAATGTCCATCCCCTGTTGTTCTCTCACATCAAAATCCACCGCCAAGACAAGTTTTTTTTTTTTTTTTTTTTTTACTGTTTTTGCTTGTAAACGGTGCTTGATCTGTGTATATTTTTCTCCTGATTCATACAAGAACTTTTTTCATTGGAGAAAACGATATTATGAATAGAGGACTCTTATTTTAGCTGAAAGCAATGGTTTGAAGTTAGAAATATCTTAATGATAGATGTTTGTTACAAACACACAGCTTGTGGATTACTTGCATGTGGATTGTTGTGATGTTTTTATCAGCTGTTTGGACTCTCATTCTGATGGCACCCATTCACTGCAAGTGATGTAATGCAAAATTTCTCCAAATCTGTTCCGATGGAAAAACAAACTCATCTTGGATGGCCTGAGGATGAGTACATTTTTAGCACATTTTCAGTTTTTGGTGAACTATTCCTTTAATGTCGAGATGAAGTGGAAGGTGAGATTGATTTGTGACAACTGTATTGTAACTATTTCCCAGTGAAGCAGCTCATCAAATAAGAATAACATGTAGGACAGGACTTGATCATCAGCTGTTGATTGGATTGTTAAAAGTAAGTGTTTGCATACAGCAGTAGATTCAGATATGAATGTGATTGGCTGAACTGCATCGTGGCCATGCATACCTCAGCAGAAACAGCCAGTTATGGCATTTTGATGACAAGTTCAGTAAATGGGTCCATCAGATGCAGTTCTTAGAGGCCGTTCACATTGGATGTGTTCCTGTGTTCAAAAACAACTAAATTGTAATTGTGAAAAAATGGAAAAGAGGCCTCTGAGTTTTTAAAAAGGTGCACAGAATGTGAACATGAACAGTTAAAAAAACCGAATAGTGCAGGATAACTGCCAGATGTTCAACAAATAAATAGACTAAAACGCTATAGAAGCTTAGATGAAGACCTTCAAATTCTGTAAATAATAAAGGGAACATTGCTCACAGCAGATGATTTGAAGTCTGACAGTAATTGTCTTGAAATTTATTATTGAATGTGGTGCATTTGTTACACAAGCAGTGCTCTGAAGGCCCCAGCGATGCTTTAAAAAGGGTCAATTTAATTTTGAGACTCAACCTAATACCACGTCAAATTGCACGTCAGTATTGCACGTCAAAGCACAGCACGATAAAACCCTCGCAGAGAGCATTTCTGTGTGGCTAAATTCGTCCCCTTTTAAAACTTCTACAAAAAACCAATTAAAAAATATAAATAAACGTAGATAAGCTAGTTCATAAATGAAACGCATATGGTGCTCATAGTTAACAAATGACCACCCAATTTTGCATAGCAACAATTTTTCTGTATTGTTATGCCGTTTACATCTGGAGAGATTACCCAATCATAACAGAGACCATCTACATATAGAAGTCTTAAAGGTGCAGTAGTCTAAAAAACAGGGTCTTTACAATATGAGAAAATGTAGAAAATGGTCATGGAAACAGAATTAAGGCTGTGTGTGGTCTAAAGTTTTTTTTTTTTTTAGCCAGCTGTGAGCGCTTCTGCGGCACAGCATTTTTTTTTTTTTTTTTTTAGTTGAGGCGCTTTGGTTACTATGATACAGAATATCCACTGAAGTAATGTGGCAGACGCAATGTGAATTAAATGTCGCAAGTATTATTTTTCATATTAATATTCATAATAGTTCGGGAATCCCATCTTGTACATACACGTATACTCGGAGACAAGCAATATAAACATCTCTTCCATTGTTGTTTAGTCGTAGTACAAGCAGAATGTGTGACATTCGGTCGGTGTGGTATTAGTCCCGCCCCTCCTCCACTGTGATTGGACGGCTGACTAAAACATGACAGTGAAGAGCGCTGCGTTTTACTTAAAGTTGAACATTCTTCAACTCTCGGCACAGAGAAAAAAACACCCGAGCGCTCAGCGTGAAAAAGACACACTCCTGGCTTTTTAAAAAGTACAGCGCTCCCTTTGAAAACAATTGAAAAAATATGCTAGCCTCGGGGAAAAACGCTTTGGTGGACATGCAGCCTAAGAAAACCTTCACTAAGTGGACTTTAAAATGCCACAAACATGTATTTATGAGCAGCATGCTGGTATACAGAAGTGTTAATGTCATACGTTAGAGGTTTTTTCTTTTTTATCCTACTGTAAGTGAAACTAAACTAAAGCCAATTCAGTGAGTCTGAAGGACCAGACAGTGAAATAATCTTTAAGTTTAAGGCAGTTGTTCTTTTATGTTTAGATTTAGAAATGAATAATAAAGGAATTTGTAGTTTTTTGTAGGTGGTAGAGTTGCTTTGTTTCTGTACTTGTGAAAAGAGAAAATGCTTCTGGGAGTATGCAGAAGCGGAGAAAAAAATAAGAGAAATATATATAAAAAAAAAAAAATGCATTTAACAGAAGTAAACAAATAGTTCACCTAAAACAGAAAATTATGTCATGATTTACTCACCCACAATCCAAATCAGTCACTTTCCTTACTGATGCAAAAAAAAAAAAAAAAAGTGTGTGTTGTATTCCAAGTCTTCTGAGGTCACACGGTAGCTTTGTGTAAGGAAACTAAAGTTGATATTCAGTGAGAATCTTGACTTCTGTCCAAGTTCTGCTTGGCAGGTTCATGAGAGTTCATAAATGAACTCTATTTTGAGTCAGATATTTTTTCAGTTCACAGTCTAAATGAGCAAATCAATGTTCTTGAATTCATATAATTGAATATATACATGTTTGAGTGACATGAGGTTGAATAAATGAGGACAGAATTTATTTTTGGGTGAACTATCCCTTTAAGACAGATTAGTCACTATTACCTTTTCAGTTTTTAACAGTTTACTCATTTGCTTTGTTTTTCTCTTTCAAACACCCTCACTTTCTTCACATCATAACTCTGGGGTGTGGCTTTTAAAATATGCTCACTTGGTTTATACGTTTATGTGTGTCTTTTTAAAAAGTGTTGCATGTCCCATGTGTCAGTTAAACCTGTGTGTGTGTGTGTGTGTGTGTGTGTAGCTCTGCAGAGTTGGAGGAGCTGGCGGTGCATCTGTACCCAGGAGCCATCACAGTTCAGGGGGTCTTACGCAGGAAAACAGTCCTCAAGGAGGGCAAGAAACCCACGGTGAGAGCACCACCGCCTCAGCTGTCTCCTGCCCAGATAATCTCCCTGTGATCTCACCCTCTTTTCCTTTCTTTTTTTAAAATGGTGCATTATTAGCAAACCAAAATAAAAAGGATCTTTATAAAAAAAAAAGAAAAGAAAGAGAAAAATTGTTACCCATACCTATTTATTGTTGACAAATGCAGTATAAAACTCTATTTTGATACATATTCATCTGACACGTGGAATAGTACACAATATTACATTAATATTACATTGTTATTCTACTGTTTTTGAATGAAGTCTCTTACACTCACGTTTTGATAAAAAATTTAAAAATAGTAATTTTGTGAAATAATATTGCAGTTTAAAACATTTAGTTTTTTGACGTCAAAGTCCAGTAAAGGTCTATTTTGATACATATGCATCTGATACTTGGTAAAAGCTAGCATGGAGAGTTTTTGTATTTTCATAGTAATATTAAGTTATCATTAATGTATGCATATTTCATTATTATTATATTATAACATGTTACCATTCTGAAGTCTGAGGTCTGTACGATTTTTTAAATGTTTTTGAAAGAAGTCTCCAATGCCCACTGCATTTATTTGATGAAAAATATACTATAAACGGTAATAGTGTGAAATACTATTAATCTAATTTACGCCTGTGATGTAAAGATGAATTTTCAGCATCATTACTCCAGTCTCCCGTGTCACATGATCCTTCAGAAATCAGTCTAATATGCTGGTTTGCTGCTCAAGAAACATTTCTTCTTATTATCATCAATGTTGAAAACTGCTTAATATTTTTGAAGAATCTGTGAGGCATTTTTTTTTTGATGAACAGACGAGTTCAAAAGAACAATTTATTTGAAATAGAATTTTTTGTGACATTATAAATGTTTTTACTGTCACTTTTGCTGAAAAAAAATCATACTCGTCCCAAAATTTTGAACTGTAGCGAATATTGCTTGATCATGATGACATTTTACTTTTTTACATTAAACAAATTTGGTTCTGTTGGATCACTACTTGATGTCCTATGTAAAATCAAAACCAGTTGGGATCCTTTGCTCAAGCGCGTTTCTCTGTCTGCACTCCTCCATCTCTGTCGTTATGTCTCTTCCCCTCTGCCCTCTCATCATAATCTGCTCTTTCATCTTTTGCTCTACAGTCTCTCTTAACTGTCAGTCATTGCTCCATTAGCCCCATCAAACTCAGCGGTTTCCTCAGAGAGTAGTGTGTGAACGGAGCCAAGGCAGTAAAAGATACTGCGTTGAAGTCCAGTAATGGGAGCTGAGAGGCCTTTTAAAACCCACATCTCCTGCACATATTTGATCTGCTACTAAATCTGCCTATCTCTGTATTTCTAGACCTTTTACTCAAGCTTGCACGTACATACACTGGATAACTACATGTTTGTACAGTTTGGGCTCCGTTTTGCATAAACGTATAATTAAGTGTATCATTCGGTTAATCTTGATTGATATGTTCAGATTTCTTCTTGGCCTTCTATTTTGTTTTGTGCTTGCTCAGGAAATGTGTCTCACACAAAAGCTTGATATATTATGCATAGCTGACATTGTAGGGATTTTGTGCTTATAAAAGTTAGTTTTATATTTCAGCCATGAAAATAAAGCACACTTATAGGCTGTGTATATGTGTGTGCCAGTGGTGTATGTGGTAGTCTTATGAAATAAATTGGATTGTTACACATTTACGTTAGAGTACCTTTAATTGAATTGAATTGAATTATTGTAAGTTAAGTGGTTGATAAATGTCTGTGGTCAATAGTTTGTTTATTTGCTTCTCTGCACTACCTCTGAGAAAGCTCTTCTGGTGTGGGTCTGTAAGCTTTAGTGTTTAGACTAATGTTTTGTCTCTCTCGGTTTCTCTTGTATTGTCTGTAGGTGGCAGCGTGGACTAAGTATTGGGTGGCTCTTTGTAGTACTCAGCTTTACTATTATCCTGCTAAGTCCCTCAAGGCCACAGAGAGGAAGCATGTACAGCAATGTACATCATGGTAGTAGTTATTGCACTTTTTTCTTTTCACTTTGGACTAATAAAACCTGAGGGCCCTCATTCCCACAATTTTCATAGTGGTGCGTCTGTGAGATTAGAACCGTGTGATTTTACCAGGGTTAGCGTACCGTATGCTCTACACAGTCCATGGGTGGTCCATCTGAAGCTGATGAAATGATGACACTCCTCATGTGAGAGGAAGAGAGCGTCACTGTGTCCTGCAGCCTGATGCGTCATCACATAATCACTTCAGTATGACACTGATGGGAGAATGCTTATACTAATATGTATACTAACTGTTCCTGTGAGCCAGGACCAGTTACACTGAACGGACTCAGTCAGACAGAAAGCCTTGGGTGGCGTTTGTAGAGATGTGATGCTGTCCAGGAGGTGTAGAGAGGGGAGGAAGAGTTGTTGGAGCCAGGAAGGATGCTAACAGCAGCATGCCAGATGACTGATTAATCAGGCTTCAGTGCTGAATGAGGGCAGCTGTTCGCAGTCATTGGATAATGAGATGGATGACATCACACATTACCAATAGCTATGTTTCCATCCAAAGATGCAAATTTAACTTATGCGCAAAACTGGAATATCGCATAAAACATTTGCGAATAAAGCACCGTTTCAATCCAACGAGTCAAAGAGAACAAATTCGTCACTTCCTGATAAACTGGCACTAAATATCTCTAAGAAAACTAGGAGAAGCCACTGATATAATACAACAATTTTTTATATGTAATAAATTACTTGTGCTTCAGAGAGAGCAGACGAAACACAATAAATGCGGTCATTGCTTTTAGAGGTGGATGCCTGCTGTTTGGGAACGCAGTCATGTAATACAGTAATTATACAGAAATACTTTGACAGACTTTCCTCAGGCATTTCAGAATGACCATAACAACCTATAGATGCTGTGAACGAGATCGGTCTGCTGGTTAGTCAAGTCATCCCGTCTCATAGCGCAAAGTCACATGACTTTTTCAATTCGCATGGTGGAATTTATTCGGTAAATGTGTTTCCACTAGCTACAGTGGTGTGAAAAAGTGTTGGCCCCCTTCCTGATTTCTTATTTTTTTTGCATGTTTGTCACACTTTAATGTTTCAGATCATCAAACTAATTTAAATATTAGTAAAAGATAACACAAGTGAACACAACATGCAGTTTTTAAATGAAGGTTTTTATTATTAAGGGAAAACAAAATCCAAAACTACATGACCCTGTGTGAAAAAGTGTTTGCCCCCTAAACCTAATAACTGGTTGGGCTACCCTTAGCAGCAACAACTGCAATCAAGCGTTTGCGATAACTTGCAATGAGTCTGTTACAGCGCTGTGGAGGAATTTTGGTCCACTCATCTATGCAGAATTGTTGTAATTCAGGCACATTGGAGGGTTTTTGAGCATGAACCGCCTTTTTAAGGTCATATCTGAAACATTAAAGTGTGACAAACATGCAAAAAAAAGGGGGCCAAAACTTTTTCACACCACTATGTTTCCATCACCCTATTTTAATGCGCATTTTGAAGTATCGCACGAGAAACGAGTGATGGAAACGCCAAATTTCAAATAAAAATCCCTTAATTCGCAAAAAAGTTTTTACGCTCGCTTGAGGTGGTTTTTGACTTGTGCGAAAAACGGTTGATGCGAATAATGGGAGATGGAAATGCATTTTGCGAATAAATTCCTCCATGCGCATCAAAAAAGTCACGTGACTTTACGCTATGGGACGGCAAAACCTGACTAACCAGCGGACCGATCTCATTCCACAGCATCTGAAATGTTGTTATGGTCATTCGGAAATGCCCGAGTAAAGTCTGTCATCAAAGTATCTCTGTATAATTGCCTCCCAGAAATGTCTTGCACGACTGCGTTCCCAAACAGCAGCATCCACCTCCGATAGCAATGACCGCATTCATTGGGTTTCGTCTGCTCGCTCTGAGGCAAAAGTAATTTATTATATATGAAAATTATTATATTCTCCTATTTTTTTTTTTGTGATTTATAGTGCCAGTTTCTCAGGAAGAGACGATTCTGTTCTCTTTGACTTGTTGGATGGAAACGATGCTTGTTCGCAAATGTTTTATGCGATATTCCAGTTTTGCGCATAAGTTAAATTTGCAACTTTGGATGGAAACCCGGCTATTGTAGTTTATGCTACTTTTTTCTTATCGGATAAAAAGTTTATCCTACTCAATTGTGCGCATAAGTTTTTTTTTAGAATTTTTAGAATTTATGCACATCTTGGCGTTTCCATTCAGGGTTTTTTTATGCGATAATCCAAATAGGATTACAAATAGATGGAAACATAGCTAGTGTTAATGAGAAGCACATGTCACTATCAAATACACATACACTAAGGCCTGGGACACACTAGACTATTTTCAAATCTTAAACGATTTTAAAACCATGGGAGACCACAGACATAATCCTCTGAGCACGCACACTAGACGATTTGACCAGACCGTGTTGTCGATTGTAGGAACGATTGATCATGTTTGATCTCGCGAGTGATCAATCGTGATCAATCGTATGATGTGGATATTAATTCAATATTAATAACAACAACAATAGGTAGTAGTATTAATAATAATAATAGTACATTTTCAATATAAATTCATTTCTATAAGAATTGTAATGCTGTTTAAATGTTTATGTTAAATGAAAATTAGATTAGAAGCATTTAATATTTGGACCCTAATTTATAATTATTTTATTTTCAGTATAGTAATAGTAATAATAATAATAAAAATAATACATTAATATAATTTCAAATTAAATACATTTCTATAAGAAATATAATTTGATTAGAAGTTTTTTGATTTTAATATTAATAATTCGAATTAAATTATTTTATACAAATTGTAATGTAATTTATATAATTTATAATATTTATATAGTACAAAAAAATTGATTGCCACTTTTTTATATTTTGACTAATTTTCTTTTTAATAATAATAATAATAGTAGTAGTAGTAGTAGTAGTATTTCAAGTTAATTGAATTTCTATACAAGTTGCAATGCCATTAATATAAATTGTAATTAAAATTTGTATATTTGGAAAAAAAGAATATTAGAAGCATTTTAATATTTTGACTGCAATGTTCAGTTTTTAATACAAATAATAATACCAGTATTTCAAAATAATTAATTTCTGTACAAATTGTAAAGCTATTAATATGTGTAATAATTTTTTTTTATATTGAATTAAAAAATAATAATTCTAGAAGCATTTGAATATTTTGACTATTTTCCACAGTTCAAGTCTACCGCCAGCAAAAGTGTTTCTGTTTTGGGCTTAATGGCCATGATGGCAGATGACCCGGAGCATCCCGACGTCTTTCTGCTGACTGACTCTGAGCACGGTAAGACAGCTAATCACAAGCCTTGTACTCTGACAGCAAACAATCGCAAGCCTCAATCAAAGAGCGACACCCTATCACAGAAATAAAGCCTATTGCAAAACATCTATTCAGTCTATACTGAGAAAAGATTGACTATTTATCTGTATATGATAATATGCAATTATCTGCAATTATTTGTTTGTGTGCTGTCAGGAAACTCATATAAGTTCCAAGCAGGGAACAGAATGAACGCTCTGCTGTGGTTCAAACACTTGAGTGCAGCTTGTCAAAGCAACAGGCAACAGGTGAGTGTGTGTGTGTGTGTGTGTGTGTGTATTTATTCAGCTTCGAGCGTTATTTAACTCAGTTTTCTTTGTAGAGAAAATGCACCACATAAAGCCATTTAGTGCCCTTCGGTGTGCACTCAGTGTTCAGAGCGTTTCCATGCAAGGGCTGCATTTTTAAGCTAAATTGTAGATGTTAATTGCTCCTCTGGAGATGCTATTGTGTTGAAATCCTTTGAGTTCAGTAAATGTGGTTACATTTTGCTCTAACCTTCTTTTCTGAAGCAGCAAATCATTAACACCGTTTCAGTGGGATGTATTAAATTAACAGCATTTCACATAATGGCTTTTTGAAACCTGTTGTTTCCAAATGCACCGGTCGGACCGACCTACAAAACCTTGTTCTGCCAGCAGGTGTTTAGGTCTTCATTAAACTGAGCAATGGCACTGCCCTCTAGTGCTTGATCTGTACTACACACTTCCTGTCAAGTGCAGTGTTGGAGAAGCTAGTTTGAAAGGAGCTATTCATTATTTACAATAGTTAAACTACAGTCAAGCTACTCTTTTTAAAAAGATGTTAACTACATTGCAATCTAGAACTACAGAAATTAGCTAACAACACTGAAGCCGTTTAGGTGATGGCTTTTTAAATATGGGCCTGTAGTTATCAGGTCATGATATATTATCCAGTTTAATCAGCACTATATTTCTCTGGCCCAAAATTATGTTTTTTTTCATGAATTAATTCATTTTGAGGTACTAAATTAAACTTAAACATAAATTTATCATATTAAAACGCTCTGTCTGAGCGTTTTAATATGCTTTCCTACCTGCCTGTCAACATATGTATTATCAAACCTCTGCACACCCTGTTCAGGCAGACAGGATACGTCATCAGCACGTTCACGCACGCTGTGCAGACAGAGTGAGAATGGCAGACAAACATCAATAACCCGATCTTCCTCCCTGGTATTGTAGCACTTTTAAAGTGTTCTCACCGATGAACGATACATGATGTAGCCCAGCGGTTAATCCAGTCCTCACGCCAGCTCGTTAGAAGTGAGCTACGTGCATGAACTGTGTTCCGATCGATATGATCCCTACACAGTGTTCATTGCTCCCTACTCCCTGAGCAGGGGAAATCCATTGAAGTTTACTTCACTTCGGAACATGGGCTGGAATTGAGAACCGCTGATGTAGCCTATTGTAGAAATGTTGTCTCTGGTCTGTGAGTGTAAATGCGTTCAGGGGGTGTGGCTTTGGACGGCGATTGCAGGGAGGGTGGGACGTTCGCTTTCAGTGCTATCAGGCTAAAGTTATAATTTTCCAAGATCTCCTACTGCACCTTTAAAATGTATTATTATGTATTATTTACATTTTACAATAAAAAAGTATTTTATTTTTTAATTGTTATATTTGCAGACACTAGTTGGTGCATATTTTGATTCCACTCAAACTGTGAATAACTTATCGTGCATTAATTATAATCATAAACATAACCTTTTTTTGCATTTGTAAACTATTTTAAGATCTTTGATTGTTTGGAGTTCCTCATGGAACTTTTTCTTCAAACTTTCTCTAGAGTGCTCGCCATCCGAAATAGATGGCTAGTAGATATCAGTACAGGATCTTGTGAAATCATACATATCCCTTTGAGGGTTTCTCATTGTCACTTTCTCTTTTTCCATTTCAGGTCCCAGCGAATCTAATGTCCTTTGAATGAGTGAAACCAGGGCGAATCAAACACGGCTGGATGACAGGAGAGCAGAGGAATATGAAGATCGCTGGGGAACGAGGAGAGGCCAGGGACGAATAAAAGAGCAAATTACTCGTGTTTTGTGTGTGTTGGAGCTTTTCCACTGCCATCACCCAGCCTGAACCCCACAGCAAACTCCTTGAGCACCACTGCCTTAACAAGCAGAGTATGTGTATGTGTATGTGTGTGTGTGTGTGTGTGTGTGAAAGAGAGAGTGAAGCGACGCCCCCAGCAGCAATGGTGTCCCTTCCGCTGGTTTGACCCGAAAGGACCTGATTCCTTCTTCCTTTTACATTTTATTTACACTTCCTGCATCTTCCATCCGATTCCCAGCCAGCGAGGAACTTGGAATCTTCTTGGGCTCTTCTTGAAGGACTCTTCTTGGACCTCTGGAGTTTGTTTACTCCTTCTTTACCTTCTTTGTTGCTTGAGTTTTATGTATTAACTGGTTGTAAATCTAATCAGCGCTCCTCCTTCTTTGACGAAACGCACACAGGAATCTCTCCGGTTTTGCAGATCGATCCTCAAACACTCACACAAGACGGTGATTGCGTCTTCAGACACTTGAGTTAAGGCTAATGCAAGCATGACACAAGATTTTAACACAAACAGGTTTCAACTGCAGCAAATGGAAGTCCCTCATTTATTAAAACACAACTCCGAAAGGGCTCCGATACTCCATGAATTCCAGATGAAGAGAAACTCTTTATCTTCTGAATGTCTCCTTCAGTTTTTTCTATTCAACCTCTTGTGCTCTTTTATGGATTCTCCAGCCATCTTTTTTAGCTCATATCAACACAAACACACACACAAAAATGTCTGTTTTGCTAGAAGGCAACTAAGATGTTCAAAACAAGGGTGTGTGGGAAGAAAGATTGAGAATGGAAGAGCTCATCAAGCAGGAACAACAAGATGTTTGAAGTCACTCCTTTATGGTAAGACTCGTACAGCTTCAAAACATCTGCAATAAGCACACCGGTTTACACAAGTTCAGTCAAACGGTAAAAGAATCATCTTTGAGGACACACTCCTACATAAACACACTTTTCAAGCTGTGAATGTTAGTGGGCGCAGACGTCAGTTGGTTTACATCTTCAAACTTGTATTTAGTCCCATTATATTTCGTTTTTTTCCCAGTCTACCAGTGGTTTTCCAATGGAATGGTGGGAATCGGAGCAGGAGATAAGGCGGTTGTGTTTTCTGCCGCATCAGTGGCCCACTGCTATTTTTATGTTTTATGTTTTGTTTTAATGTGGTTTTATTATTTTATTTCAGTATTACTGGGATAGTTGCACATGTCTAGACTGTTTTAATTGTCTGTTACATTAACATGTTTTGTATGATTTTGTCATTTTCATTTTGAAAGTAACGCCACCTTGACTTGGTTTTCGTGGGATGTTTTCTTCTCATTGAGCCATTAAGGTTCTTGTTTGCTCATTTAGTTAACAGCTTTATCAGTTTCTATTGGGAACAAGAGATGTCTGCTAAGCTCAGAACAAATGATTAACGTTCTTGCGGCGTCATGAAGCAGGAGGCCTTATCCGCCAGACCAGGATGTCTCAGGACGTTCGATTAGATGGGTCCATCTTTATCTTTCCATTTCACTTGATCCTGTTCTTCTGTATTTCACGGAGCAGTGTATTTTTCCAGGCTCGGCTCTACTGTTTCCAGTCGGGTGGAACATCATATTGAGATTCAAAGTCTTGTTCCCAACACAAGATCTTGGGTAATGAAGGACATGAATCCAACTTTGCTTCGTCCAAGTGCTGTGGCGTCTTTGTTTGACTGACGATAATAAGCCAAATTTACATAAATGGTTATTGAGGAATTGGCAACTGGTTTATACTCGTTCTCGCCAGTTCTCACCATTTGCTTTGTGGTTGTTTTTGTATGGGATTGAGTGGAGATGATTGGATGCTGAGGTCGAGGGTGGGAAACTGGACACCTTGCGTTGCTTGTCTTCTTAAAACAATATTTTTGTAAGCTATCTTTAACCTAAAAGGGAGGATTTTATAGGAAATGGGGCGTTCAGCACAGGCAATACTGGGACATTTGAGAAATGCTGGTTTTGACCGGTTAGCAGATCTGGAGTAGTTTTTGTTTACACGCGTTTGTATCGTTCTGAGCCTTTAATATCAGGTATTAGCACTTTGGGTTGTGAAAAGCTCTGAGATGAGGGGAAAATAGCTATGGAAGTCAATCAGCAAAATGAGCCGCTCGAAAACCTGTCGACAAAGTGCTTACGTGATAAATGAACATGAATGTTGTTTTGGTTCAAGCTGTGAAAGTCCTGTGAGGCTGGATTGTCATTTTTGAGCCGTCGTGAAAGCACAGGCAGAGAAGTTTCGGGCGATCCTGACCAACCACTTGTACTTGGCTCCAAGAATTAAAGGAGAAAGGTGTTGAAATGGGAATTTTGCTTAATAAACAGTGGAACATCACACCAGACATTCTACTGATATGAGTTATGCATCTTGACAAGTCTCCAGCCTTTTCCAGCAGGGATTTGGACCCAAGTAAATTATGATACTGGCTGGTTCTGTGGCATTTTCTCGCTTTATTTCTCTAAAATGTTCCTTAGACATGGATGACGGTTGACGGTATGGAATAGTAAGAGCAAGAAACTGCGTGTGGTTAATAAATGGAGACAGAAGAATGGTGGGAAACGTGACTAAGCTGCTTCTGTTATCTACTACATGTCTACTTTTCTGGATTGTTTTTGTTCCAGTTGTTTATTATTTCACACTACATCTCTTTCTCTCTGACTCTCCCTTTTTTTCATGAACAATAATGAAATTTATTAAATTGTCTATGACATTTATTTCATGGATGTTTCTTTTTCTTTTTTTACCCCCTAACTGCAGTTATGTTAAATGTTATTTTTGTTCCTGGTTTGTCTTTTTTTTATTTCTCCTTTACAGTTAATGTTATGTTCAGTCTTTTCATTGAAATTCTCTATATCTCTACATACTTTGTACTATTCGGTTTCACTGTCTTTATATTTATAGTGCGTATGATATCATACTGTACACACACACACACACAGACGTGATATTGACAGATGAACTTCTCATCTTCTCTGCCGCTTTCTTTGGCTGTTTGAACTTCACCGTATCACTTGTTTTATGTGGTGGTGTATTACAACAGACTAATACAGGTTTGTAGTGAGTTGTTTAAGAAATGAATTTGCTTGTGTGTGTGTGCGTGTGTCTCACTCTGTGCCATCCTGTGTGACCTGCTCCCACCCACCTTATCTCCTCCCTGTCTGACCCCACGCCGGCTGGGACCCATGACCCAGGGAAGCGCTATGACCTTTGACCTGAGAGATGTGCTCCTAGGTTCCAGACAGGACAAAACTAATAAACACTTTTGGTTGTATGTTTTTTAATCCAGTGGTCCCGGTGTCTTCTTTTGGCTGAGGATGTGGCTTTATTCAGAATGTACTTACTGCAAGGCATCCCACAATGCATTGCAATTACGTAATCATCAGTCATGATTTTTAACATCTCTTTGCCGAGTCGATATTTGATCAGAGTTAATGTAGTTTTCAATTTTATCTTTTGTTTAATTTACATTTTTCATTTTTTAGTATTTAATTGCTACAGTATCTGACTTCATTTCAAAATGTTTAATGCCATTCAATTTCTCAGCACAATCCAGTGTTATTTTTATCTAGTGGCATTTTCATATAGCCTGTAGGTTGCTACATTTTATTATATCATTTAATTGTTGATATAATTGGCTTTGTTTTTTAGTTGTGAATGTATTTGTGACTTCCTATTACTTTCATCTGATGCTGTAAAGCACATTGGTCAGCTGCTGCTGTTGTTAATGGTGCTATATAAATAAATTCAACTCGAAACTTGAACCTACTTAGTTTTATAATATACTGTACCAGGTATCTAGTTTACATTTTTATTTCGGTAATGAAAATGTTTACAATTAATTGTTGTTTTAGTTTTCATTAATAATGACTGCAGCACTAGAACCAGAGTTAAGACAGTTTACAGCAACTGGCCAGTCTCTGATGCTTTCACTGAATTAAGCATGTAACAATGAGGTAATGTGACTGCAATGTACCATATTACTAATATGTATTGTTGCTTACTGTATACAGTTTCACATAGTAAGGAAAATAACCAGTGTATATACTACAAGCAGCATGCTAGATTTCATTCTGAACATCATCTACCTGAGCCAGTGGTAAAAATCAGTAGTCTCTACTGTTAAAGCGATTCTTTATAAATCTCTGCATCTAGATGTACTGCTCTACTTTTAAATGCATGAACCTTTGTCTTTCAGTGGGGTATTTTTAGCTGCATTTACAGTGTACAGCAAACTGTGCTGCTCAAGGAAGATACATGAGGAGATGGAGGAGGACAGTGTTTTTGTTTGAAAGAGCTACATTTTACCCAGAAAGGGCTTCACTGGAAAGGTTTTGTTTTGAGTTTTGCTACAATTCCCCAGGCTAATGCTAGGACAGAGGGTGGGGTATAGGACAGCTGTCAAGCTCTAAGAAGGACAATATAGTCATATGAGAGTTTTTTGTGAGGATTCGACTAATTAGTCTTTCAAAAAACAAAAAAAAATTATGTTCTAGCTTGATGGCTGCATTCAGTTTTGTTGCATTTCAGACAATTGTGTAGGAAGAAAGAAAGAAATGAATGAATGTTTGGAAGAGCATGACTCACAAGTGTGAGTAATTGACAGAATTTTGGTTTTTGGATAAAAGAAGGGTTAGTGATAGTTTACCCAAAAATGAAATTCCTGTCATCATTTACTCACCCTCAAGTTTTTTCAAACCTATATGAACTACTTTCTTCTGCAAAACAAAAGATATTTTGAATAATGTGTGTATCCAAACAGTTGCTGCATGGTAGCCATTGACTTGCATAGTATTTTCCCCCCTACTATGGACAATGGCTACCAGCAACTGTTTGGTAACCCACATTCTTCAAAACTTCACATTCTTGTGTTCAGCACAGTAGGCTTGGAATGACGTTTGGGTGAGTAAATGATGATTGAATTTGCCATATTTTTGGTAAATTATTCCTTTAAGGGGTAGTTACCCAAAAATTGTAATCCTGCCATGTACTCACCCTCATGACCTTCAAGTTATTTTAAGAAAAAAGTCTCAAGGTCTGTTTTCTCTCTCTCTCTCGCTCTTCTTTCTTTCTTTCCTTCTTTATATAATGGAAGTCAATGAAAACCAAAACTGTTTGATTATTAACATTATTTGAAATAACTTTTGTGTTCCACAAAGTCGACTAGGTTTGGAACGACATGAAGGGTGAGTAGAATTTACATTGTTGCCACATGACACGATAACATAAGGACTGTTATGGCTCGATGTTATTAAAACCCCTTAACTGTCACCGTCCCGCCAGCGGGACGCCTAAGTTTACTTCAATATATTACAATTAAATCCTAATCTAATCATGACAAACTATATATCATTGGAAAGGTCTAAGACTCCTAAACAGATATTTTCCCACTGTTTGTTGTTAAAAATTATGTAGAAACAGTAGGCTAATAGATTAATATATGACAAGAGTGCACCTCAAAACGTATACATCATAACAGGAGTTCTGACCTTTGTCACAAAAATTCTTTTTCGTTTCCTTTTTTCATATCACACGTTTTAGTAATCATCATAAATTATATATCATTTGAAAGCTTCAAACCTCAAAATTCATCCTGTGAAAACCATTTTGAAATCGGACATTGCATTGCCATGAAAACATAAAAATAGTACTTTAAATCTTTTAGCGGCCTCCTCCCCCTTAGTGGGAGGAGTCATATAACAAAATGTATTACGGTATTTTAGAATCAAATCTTGACAAAATACATATCGTTGGAAAGGTCAGAGACTCAAGATTATTTTGAGATGGAAGTAATATTGAGAGAGAAATGTAAACATTTGTGACAGAAAAAAAATGCATCCAAAAAAATTCAATGGAGTTTGGGTATCACCCAATGGCTATTTTTGGTATTACGCCTAAACAAAATTGCACACCTCCATTTTTTTTTATATCAACTTCAAATTTGAACCGCAACTTATTTAGACATATGGCTTTAATTTTATAGCAATTTTGGACTAAAACCTATTTTTTAAATATTTATTTTATATAAAGTAATATAAAAATAGTACAGCACATTTTCTTTACAGTAAACAAACTTTTTATACTTTCATTTTTTGAAATGATTTTGATTCTGCAATAATCTGCTGATTGTCTTCAAGAGAAAATATGTATATATAAATACATTATATATATATATATGTGCATGTATATAAACCTATGTCATCAACTATTGTGCATAATAAATTGTGCGTTTGAATTAAATATGTATATGCTTATAGTATAGAAATGTTGCGTTAATTCGAAATTTGTGACATTTGAAACATCAGCCGGAATTCTTATCTGCCCCCCACACACGCCCGGACACTACAAGTCCGTTTTCACTTTAAAGGGGTCATATGATGCTTTTTTAAAGATCATTATTTTGTGTATTTGGTGTAACAGAATATGTTGACATGCTTTAATGTTCAAAAAACACATTATTTTTCAAATACTCTACATTATTGTAGGTCCTCTATGCCCCGCCTCTCTCAAACGCTTTGTTTTCTACAAAGTCCCTCCTTCCGACAAGCACTGATTGCTTCAAAACTAACTGCGGTTACTGAAACCACGCCTTCTTTCTTTGCGTGCACATTTGGGCGCATTATGCAAATATTTCCACATAGTGAGGTAGACATGTGGGGGCGTGTTAGAACGAGCCGTTTTAGGGGGGCGTGGCAGAGTCTTAACTTTGATAAAGAATATCTCTTTGGTTTTGAGACTTTAGTCTTTGCAACTTCAGGGATCTTATCTATGCACAATCAGCTTGTCACACTCCAAAGAGAAAGGCAAACTTGAAATCGCATCATATGACCCCTTTAAGACGCGAAGGGTTAGGTTTGCTGCTGGTGTGAATGCAGTCTTCTCAGGAAGGTCCGCACAGAGAGTCAGACACACGGGCAGTAATGAATAGAGCCTGACCCGCAGGCGGCTGGATATTGACGATAAACGTGTCTTGAGCGCTAGAGACTGGCCGTGGGGGGTTTTCCCGTGGAAAGGTTTCGTTAGTAGCGCTAGGGTGAGTCGATGCTTTTAAATGTCACGGTTTCACTGTTAGCCTCTTAGCAGTGCGGATAGGCTGTGACTAAAAACGAGGACTTCAACTCACTAACAGCAACTGCAGACACTCATATATAGAGGTACACCTACGGTGAGCTCACAAATGTGTCGTTGGATTATATCTGTGGTTATTTCATCGCTATAATATGAAGAAAACGAGGGACTTGTGAGCTAGCTGTGGCTAACCGCCGTTAGCACTCTCGCTTATAAAATACATAGAGCGAGGCGAGCGCTCAATTTCACACACATTTCTATTCAGTTGAACAAACTTCTATTTGTGTAAATGTCATAAGTCCGTATTAGGTGTGTTTAAACTCATGACAGCAGCGGTCCAGTCTGACCGTCTTAAATGTAACAGCTGGTCTATTTGCATGTGGAGCTGTACACTTGGAGCTGTTTGTTTAGCAGGTGTGATAGATGCGTGTAGCTGGAGTTGATATGAATGGCTGATTGTGCATCATTAGTGCCTGCGTGGACAGGATGTGCTGCAGGCTGTGAGGCACCCAGTCTCATGATGAATGTGCACTTGCTCACCTGCGTGTGTCTGATAAGGAGATGCATGTCTTCACTTGACGAAAGGCCAGAGATCTGCAGTGATCTAGGCTGGTGTGTGAGACTCAGGGCTTGTTGCATGGATAATACACATTCTGTGTGTGACTGCTCTTCTCTGTTAGAGGTTCATGTTAGAAGAAGAGCACTGCTCCTCGTGGGAGGCGTGAGATCTCTGGAGTCCTGTGCTTCTGCCCTGTATGGACCCTTTTTGACATTTTCAGGTTTCTCGGAAGCAGAAATCATCATAGTTGGGTAAACTTCTGTAGTGGTGAACGGAAGCTACAACAGATATCATTGTTGCATTCCCATGCACTCCAATAGCAAAAGACAGAAAAATACAAGATAGTGTTTCTATGACTTTCTAAAAGGAAAAATGAGAGAGAGATTGATTGCAGTTGACAGAAGAGAGAATGATTTTGCTGTCACTTCCTCAGGCATTGTATAAGAAGCACTAATGCAGCAGTGTTAACTAGTTTACTGTCAGGTTTCAGTATTTTTAAAGAAATTAATATTTTATTTAGCTAGGATCATTTAATTGACCAAAAAAAAATTGTTTATTGTTACAAAATTTCTATTTCAATTAAATGCTGTTCTTTTGTACTTATATAATCTTCAATAAATGTGTCACGGTTTCCATAAAAACAAGCAGCCCAACTGTTTCAGCTTTGATGATAAGAAGAAATTCTTAATAATTAAGAATTTAGAATAAGAATTTCTCGAGCAGCCAGTTGAGTAATGATGCTGAAAATTCAGCTTTGACATCACGGGAATAAATTACGTTGTAAAATATATTGAAGTAGGTATATTGAAACAGCTTGGACTTAATATTGGCAGTCTTGGAATACCACTTGACCAAACCAATTCGACAAGCGGAACTGCAATAATAGCTGAAAATTATACAGCTATAATGAAACACCATGACGGATAACTTGACCTTGGTGGCATATTTAAATAAACAGAATTTGCAACATTCAGTGCATCACACAAAACCCGTTTATATGTTTTCAAGGCATAAAAGTGCATGCACATAATATAAGATTTAGTGGTCTGAAACTCTCAAACGGGCTCCATCAGAACATCCTTAATATTGATCCCTGGATGAGCACTTGTCATGTGACTCCAGTCTAAAGAAATGTATGTTTTTGCACTTCACAAAGGCACCAGAGAGTGTCAATGCAGATCAGTATAGCATTAGGGGGAGGAAAAAAATACAAACTTAGCATTGTGATTTTTGTCTCATGTAATGTTCTATAATCAACGCTATGTATTTTGTGGATGTCTGCCTTTATGCCATTGTCATGAGTGGGCTGATCCCACATACTAGATGTAAGAGTGCAGAGCACAGTAGTAAATGTGTATGTGTTTAGTAGAAGTCTTTGGAGTGGCAGCGCTCTCCAATAAGCCCCAGGCTGAGATCAGGAAGTGGTGAGAGAGTGTTGAGCTGTGTTTGCCAGGGCTCAGTACCGCAGTGTGTTTGAGCCGAGATTCTGCTGCTTCTGCTTGGCGGCTCTTTCACTTTATTTTAGACCCTGAGATCCATCGGGAATGTTGCATGTGTTTGAGGCTGTTCATATTGATTGCTGGCATTTGTTGTATTTTTGTTGAGTTTTTCCTTTTGTGAGCAGTGGAACTAAAGGTTTTGAAGTTTGCCATCTTTGGGTTTGTTTAAATAGATCTTTAATTGATATCAAAATGTAGTTATGGCCTCTGTTTGTTGTTATAAGACAGATTGTCAGTGTAATTTTTCCTTGAACATGAAGCATTTAGAGTAAGATTCATCACAGTAATAATGTGTTTGTATACTTTGACAAATTCATGTTTTATACGCTACCATTCAGAAGTTTGGGGTCAGTAAGATTTTTTTTTATTTAGCAAGGACGCATTCAATTGAAAAAAATGTGACCGTAAACACTTATACATTGTTACAAAGCATACATTTAAAAGAAATGCTGTCATTTTGAACTTACTATTCATCAAAGAATCCTGAAAAGAAAATGTATCATGATTTCCACAAAAAATATTAACCGCACAAAATTCAGCTTTGCCATCACAGGAATAAATTACATTTTAAAATATTTTAAAATAGAAAACTTTGTTACTTTAAATAATTTGAATAATATTTAACATTATTAAATTTCTTTACTGTATTTTTTATCAAATAAAATTATAGACTTTTTAAAAAAAACATTAAAACAAAAATCTTTCTGACCCCAAACTTTTGGACGATAGTGTATGTACCAGGTTCAGTGACAAATAAATGTGTCCATGATAAAGAAAAGGAAAAATCTAGTTTAAAACACGTGCCAGTTTATTAAAAATGTACTCTTTGTATTCACTTTATTGTCATTTAAAA